AAAATCAGATCATGTTTTTAAAACTGGGGCATTAGAGTGGGACAAACTCATGTCGCCCGACAGAAAGCCGTCCTGCGCTTATTCTCTTTCACTGAGTGACTGGGTGTTACAGCTGGGAGGAGAAGTAGGTGTGTTATTTCAGGTCATTCCAATGAGAAAATTACAAGTTGTGAACAGAGAGCTCCAGTACTTCCAGTGTGCATCCTGGATTTAAAAACCAGCACTGATGTAGATTGTCTAATAGGCAGAGGAAGATCACTCCAAAGCTTCGGGGCCACAGTAGAGAACGCTCGGTCTCCTCTAAGTTTCAAACGTGATTTAGTGACTGAGCGCAACAGCTGCTCAGCTGACCGCAGTGAGCGAGGGGGGACACAGGGCTTCAGCAGATCGGACAAATATACAGGTGCCAGACCATTTAAGGATTTAAAAACCAGTAAAAGGATTTTAAAATAGATCCTAAATTGAATTGGAAGCCAGTGTAAGGAGGCCAGAACTGGAGCAATATGCTCAAATAATACTACAGTTATGCACAAGTGTTTTCATGTGTCGCAGCTAAACTGTATGTGCAGAGATAATGGTTCTTAAAGTACAGAACATAAAAAAAGAAAAGAACTACAAATATGTTGGAGGTTTGTCAGCTGACTGCAGTGTTTGTGGTTTTTCTGGGGACAGCTCAGCTCTGTGAACTTTTTTTCTTCTTGTTTTGATTTGGTAAATCTTTTTAATTTTTACTTTTTGTTTGTTTTTTTAACTTCCTGGTTATGTTTACAAATCAACTGCTGCCTGTGAACCTTTAAAAATGGTGCTCAGCTTATGCATTTAAATTGGACTCTGAGACTGGGCTGGTATTCTTGCTCAGCGACAACCAAACAACTGACCTGCTTATGGCTCTGGATGAAAACAAAAATCACTATTAATAATATTTTAATATTTGCACCGAAACCCAATGCTTGCTGGGTGCTGTATAGCTGAGATTAATGTCTCCAGAGCCTAAAAACAAGATAAAAGTTACATCTTCTAAACTAATAAAGTGACACAAATCAGCTAACATCCCTCAGAGGTCATCCACCCATGAGATTTCAGGAGGGCCCTGGGACAGCAGCCAGCTCCCCCCAGGCAAACAATCTATTGCTTCTACTATTAAGATAAAATCAGATCATGTTTTTAAAACTGGGGCATTAGAGTGGGACAAACTCATGTCGCCCGACAGAAAGCCGTCCTGCGCTTATTCTCTTTCACTGACGTGACTGGGTGTTACGGCTGGGAGGAGAAGTAGGTGTGTTATTTCAGGTCATTCCAATGAGAAAATTACGAACAGAGAGCTCCAGTACTTCCAGTGTGCATCAGACAACTTCCAAAATGAGGACTATCACAATTTGGCACAAAAAAACAAACTCGGCTGGACTGTCAATCATCATAATGTATAACAGTGAAAAACAAGAGAACAACAGACCCTGTTTAAGCAGGCCGAGATAGGAAAAAAAGACATTTTGTGAACTAATGTGTTTACAGTGTCCTACTGCAGGTAGTTCAGAGGAACTACAGGACACCACAGGCGCCACCGACACAACCACCCATGTCCCGTTTCATGCACCCTGGATTCAAATCTCGCCCTCCTGCTCTGAGAAATTGCTCGTCAATCAGAGGCCAAAGGCAGCCAGTGACAAATCGCTCGTGTATGGAGTCTGTCTCTGTCTACTAAAGAAACTGAGAGATTTGTCTCCATCGTCTCCTTTATGCCGGGATGACACGTAGTCATTTCAGGCTAGCAGGTGGCCCTTTGTCTGTGATGATCTATTGATTTCCTTCTCCCGTCCTCCAGCTTGATTTCTCAATCTCCCACTCTTTGCTGTTGTTCTACCGTCATCATCGCCTGGAGAGAAGATGGAAGGACAAACAGCTGCAGCCAGCAAAACTGTTTAAAAAACAAAGAACAAAAATGTGCGGGAAGACGGAGTCCCACTCTTGACTGGCTGCTGAATCGTTGATGCTTCATGTGTGAAAAGGAACCGTTTGAAAAATGGTTTTTCAGCTTTGTGACACGTCTGTGTGCAGCCACAGAGAGATTCAAACAAGCATTTTGCAACATGTTTACAAAGGGACAAGTCCAGACTAACATCTGCTTAGCAGATCAAAATGTACCCTTTTTTTGGACTGACAAACTTTTATTTCCACATTTTAATTCAACTTAAGTACATGACCCCGGGTTTGAGCCACCTCCTAGCCGGGGCCTTTCTGTGGGGAGTTTGCATGGGTTCTCTCCGGGTACTCTGACGTCCTCCCACAGTCCAAAGACATGCAGTTGGTGGGGATCGGTTACTGGCGATTCTAAATTGCCCATAGGCAACTGAACTCCACTGTCGCCTCATAGCAACCATCTGGGTTTAAATCCACTAGCCGGTACTCTGACTTCCTCCCTGAGTCTAAAGACTTACACGTCACATTGGCTAAATTGGCTGTAGGTGTGAATGGTTGTCTGTTTCTCTGTGTTAGCTGTGTTATAGACTGGATAAACATTTAAGAAGAGACTTTTGCCTCTTTATTGTTTTTTTGGTGCCAGAAGTGACTTCATGTGGATAAAAGACTTTACATGGAGTACTATCAGCTAACACTAGTAAGCTAGGTTAGCAAACTGCATCCAAAAAAAATGTGTGTCATTTACATATTTGCCTAATAAAATACATTTCACTAATCAAAACCAAAACATTAACTTTATGAACAACAAGCTACAATATTAGTCAGAAATTTCCATTAAAGTTGCTCCAAATGGCACCAACAGGATAAACATATTAAAGTTCAGTGACTCCAGTTAGCAGAGATGAGGCCTCCAGCAGTCTATGGCAGGACACCAACGCCCCCACGTCCCCTCCAGTGTCCAGGTCACCCCGCTCAGAGACAGTTTAAAGGTTTAAAGGGTGCAAAAATCATCAAGGCCAAACTTTCTATCTGTTGTACTGAGCTATGAGCATGATTTCTGATGCTGTCAGGCATTCAAGGTCACTGGAGGACTTTTAAACATTAGGAAACCTCTTACTGTTTTTCAAACATCTGCTCAAAATATTCAATTTTTGCTTATTAAATATCTTCAAAACTAATGAGAGCACCGCCAGCCTCAGCTGTGCATGATTAAAGTCTTAGCATGCCTACAAACTGAAGACTTCTAACACTGGTGCAAAACCTCAGGCTGTGAGAAAAAGGTCAAGGTCTTAAAAAGAGGACTCTGTCAAAACTTAAAGAAAACTGTTTATATTTCTTTTTTTTTTTTTATCTCTAAGACAAAACAAAAAGTGTGATGAGTGGATACCGTTGTTCCTGGATGATAAAGTTCTCTGTATCTTGGACACAGACACTGCAGAGTCAATATGTCTGTATCAGGTTTTGGAGATCACTGAAGTGACTTACTGTGAAATAATGTAGAAATACAAATAGCATATACAAAAAAAGCGCAGCAGAGAAAGAGCCAAAATAATACACTCTTACCTGGGGGCCCGTGGAGTTTGGCTTTCTTTACTGAAAGAAGAAGAGAGAAAAAACCTATTAGTCCCAATGTGATGAAGAGGATGAAGAGGATTCTGTGACTCATCAGGATTATATACACTTAGATATTTCAATGGAATTTAATTTTTGAGGGACTGAACAATGTTCTAACCCCTCTATACTCTTATTCCTGATTGTTGATGTACTTCAAAAATAAAATTGTGCAATAAAATTTCATAAAATTAACCCCAAGCCTATTAAATAACAGTTCAATGTGTTGTATGACTGTAGGAAACAAATACAGTTTTTATATTTGATGTATATTATTGTGGTTGAAACAGTATTGGCACTGTTGCAACAGCTGCAGGAAGAATGGACTGTGTGAATCAACAATCAGCGAGGAAATGAGTTGTGAAAAGACACTGACACAATCTGCTAAATCCATAAATATTAACCTAGAATAAGTTAACCCAGCCAAACACTGGAACCGTTCATAGAGATCCCACATCCGTGATAAGAAACAGTTCAAAGTTTATCTTGTGGGTGGAAGGATATGAGACACATTTCTCACTGCATACATCCTACTGGAATCTTTTCAGTGACTTCACATAATTTACTATAAGCCATAGCTTCCACCTTGATGAACAGCTGATGGTACTTTGGGTGCTTTCTTATTTCCACAGTGGATAAATCTGCATGTTTGAGTTGGAAGAGAGTTTATTCCTGATGCACTTCCTGATACAACCCTTCCTCCCTGTAGAATTTTGCTTTTAAGAAGGTTTTGGTTATTATTTCCGTCCTGGTACTGCACACATAATACTGCACGCAAAAAACAAACAGACAAATCCATCTTCTACCAAACAAGAAAGGGAAAACATTGCTTTCTCCAAAATCCAACAGCTGCTCTGTTCCCAGATGTTTTTGGACGGTTGTTAAAAAAAAAGAACGAGTGCATGCTACGCAGTGGTAAACATCACCCTGTCACAACTTCTGAAAAGTATTGCTGTCATCAAATCCAGAATAGACTAATACTTTTCCTAAAATGGTACATTTTCTCAGTTTAACCATTTGATTGGTTTTCTATATTCTATCATGAATAAAATGTGAGTTTATGAGACATGTTTCTGTTTCTGTTACATGTTTAGTTACTTCTTTGCTAATCAGTAATCCTATTAGCTACACTAGCGCCGCAGTAATTGGTGGAATAAAGCAACTGTGTTACTAGTTCAAGCTGCACCTGTTGGCACGACAATCCCAAATGTGCGCCGATGGCGTTCACAAACTTCGTTGGCCACGCCCCCACCCACCTGACCAGCGGGCTGATGTCAATATTCCTCAGCCTTTTACGACTGAGGGGTTTACAAAATTAGGCCAAGCAAAATAATGTATTCTGATTACAGTTTTACAACAAACCTGAATATGACTACAGCTCGCTCACTTTCAAGGAAACATGATGCTGCAGTTACATTTCTCCTCTCAGTCCAGCAACTTTCTGAAGCAACCGTTCTTCATCTATGACTCCGTATCTTTGGATTCAAATATGTGGATTCAAACAGAATAATCGAGCAGAATGGGGCTCTCTTTGTGCTCTACTCAGTTTCCCAGCTCAGTTGATACATTTAAGAACCTAAAGTGATACACAGGCCTTATTAAAATGTATAAAGAGCCTTGAGTTTGACACATGTCATCTGTATACACATTTTTGTGTGTTTCATTGGCTTTACTGTAATGTTGCATTTTAAACTTTTGCTGAGCAAAGCATCAAGCAGCGACTTTTGTTTGCACAACAGGAACTATGTGAAAACTAAACCTTATGTTCCTGATGGTGTTGCAATCAATGTATTTACTCTGAGGACTAAATATTATTAGTCTCTAAAGAGCAGCATGACAAAAATTTGAGAAACTGCTATTATAAGCTAGCATTTAGAGAAAAAGGGGTTATTTGTCTAGAAAAAAAGAACTCAATAATATTTTATATTTTAAACAAAACAGAGCTGAGATTTTAAATGTACTGAGACCCAGAATGCCTTGAAATTCACAAGAGAGTCTTGAAATGCCAACATGTTCTTGGCTTCAGGCTTGAAAGTCCCCGATATTGATCTGCAGTTCAATCAGGCCTCCCTTAAATCTGTTGCAGTCATTTGACTATGCAGCAGTATGAAAGCTTATTGCCTTTTAGGGCTAATTCAGTTATTTAAATCCAGTTTAGACACATGTTCTCACTGAGGAAGATCAATATGCTCATTCAATCACAGTCAGAGTGAGAGATGTGATAAGAAAAACAGAGAGAGAGAGAGACTGTTAACAGGTCATTTATCTTAGGCTGTCAGCACAGCTTGCTTTGTGTGTCAGTCGTGCCAGCTCGGCAGAGGCTCACAGTGGCCTCGTTGGTCAAGTGCCAACTGGGCTCTGACGCTACCTGTATGAATGACCCAACACTGTGAGAGAAGATGTGATTTAGTCTCATTTAAAAATAAATAAATGTGAAACAGGTGACTCAAGGGTAGCGCCACTGCTTTATATGAATGTAAAAAGTGTTCTGAAACTTTAGCTCACGTGTTCTGAATTTACTTTACAAAATATTCAGTGTAAAGTTGGCTCTGTTTGCCAGTGAGCCACCTTTCAGAATCACAGCTCCTAACGGAGAAGCATTAAAACCAACATTAAAACAACACAGCTCATATTTGTAACTGTGTGACAACAGATGGCAGCTGTCAGGTGTTACACCTGAGTCCGATGTAATGCACAGCGCAACATTGTTTCGAGTCAAGTCGATAAAACCGGATCAGCAGCTCATTCAAATTAAAATCAAGAAGAGCCTTATCATGACACACATGATTGGCAGCGTCGGACATGTGACTTGTGCAAAGTTTATACTTAGACGTTATATAACGTACAAAGGATTTAAAGCCCTACCAGATGTGATGATATGCGTTTGTGACATTTGAGCACAGAGTCATCTCTGAAACAAGGCACCAAGGATCAAAATGATGCAGCACAATCAAAAAATCCTTCAAAACCTGAGAGCGACAATGCAACATCAGAATGAGTTCTGAACTTCTGCCTGGTGGAAAAATGCATCCTCTTCCCTTAGTCTGATGTGTATGGAAGCCTGTTTCTGCCACTAAAGAAAAAAAAAAAAAAAAGACTCCATAACTCGAAATTTCGAGTTATTTTCTCAACATTTCAACTTTTTTTCTCAAAATTTCGACTTACTTGAGTTAGTTATTAACTCAAAATTGTGAGAAAAAGTGACTCAAAATATCGAGTTAGCGCTGCCAATCAGTAATTTATGTGAATGACGTCATTTCCTTGTTGCCCGGAAGCTGAAGCCCTCAGGTACAAATGCTACAGCTAAGCTACCGGTATTACATCCAGTCATGAATGCACAGATTGCTGAGTATTTTCAGCGTGGCTTCAAAAATAATGAAATCCTTGTGTTATTAGCTGAATCACATGACATTACTATCAGCAAACGTACTCGCGAAAGCGCCAATTTGTTGCGATCCAGTTTTGAGTGCGTGTTACTTTGCGGTTTTGAGTGCGTGTTACTTTTACTTTGCTACCCAACACCCACAGGTATTGGATAGCACAAGATATCCTGATTTGTTTAAAGCAGCTTAAACCTCAACTTTATGCAAATGAAGCACAGCCAATACAATGTTCTCTTTGAAGACAGCAACGAACAGGAAGTGCTGACAAACTGGCAGAAAACAAAGGCTTGTAATGAAAAAAAAAAATCACCTAAAATATAAATGCAAGTGCATCGCTACACCAGACAGAAGCACTCTTTAAGATCTGGACAAATAAAAAAGCGATGGTCAGTGTCACATTTTAGTGCTTGCAGAGGTCAGCATCCCTCTGGGCTACAGGGTTGGTGAGGCTGATCAGAGGTAGTAAAGCAGGCACGTGTCCTCTGGAGTGATTGTATGAGAGGATGCGTGCTGCTGGTGACCGCGTGTTTAGCTGGTGGGATAATCCCTCCAAGCTAATGCTTTAAGCGGGGCTGAAATCTACCAGACCCTGCTACATTGTACTGTGGATGAATTACAAAAGAGACATAGGAAAGCAGAAAGACTTCTTTTCATTGGTCAGTAGCTAACTCTCAACCTTACAAAGTTTTTTCTTTCTTAATACCTGAAAAAAATAAAGAGACTGAGAAAACCCATTTGGGGAAAAAAGCAGGCTGATGTTCGTGTGATGACTAGTGCACTGGATTAAAGCTGCTACTGAGGAGCACTCAAACACACATCTGTAATGTCTCCATACGCAATGGAGGACGTGGATGACATGGCATTGTGTTTTTGCACAACACAATGCTTATACTGAAGCTTATATTCAAGCACAGCAGGCTTGATAATATATTTCATTTGGTTCTTTAAATGCCCAATTTAAAATATATAATTATGTTTGCTTGAAAACAAGTTTACTGAGCAATTACAGCCATCTTGTATCTATCCCGAACTTTCAGGGTTTGCATTACATAACTTTTCATTGTCATTTTAAATACAAGGCCCAAAGAGAGAGAGGTCATCATTAGCAGGACAAGTAGATTTTTTCTTTTAATGAAATCGATACAGCATGGTATCACAATACTATTGCAAAATTGCAATATTGTATCCATTCAGGGACAAAGTTACATTACTCTAGGAATACTACAAACATGCATATCGTCCTGAGATAACGGTAGCCGAGTAAAATTAAATTAAATGGGCTCAAAAAACAGCGAACAAAAAAAACAAAACAACTGGACACACTTAGCTTGACAAATTCAGAGCCAACTGGTGCCTGACTTGAACTGACTGCACTCGCTCTCAGAGAGATTATCAAAGGTTTAAAAAAGATTGCTGTCTAATTTACAAATGCAGTCAGATTGCCAACATGTTGCCATCAATCTGAATGAGTGTTTGTCAGTGAGCAAAGGCAGCTCGCTGGTTATATTCTGGATACATTCCTATATAACAGGAAGGTTGATGAGCACAAATGTAATAGTTAATTTGTCAATTTTAATTGTCAATTTCTGTCAAAGTGGA